TTTCAAAGGTGTATGATGTCCATTTTATGTGACATAATTGAGAAAGAAATTGAAGTTTTTATATATGATTTCTCAGTTTTTGGAACCTCTTTTGATTCATATTTAGATCATTTAGCAAATGTTTTAAAACACTACGAAGAAACAAATTTAATTCTCAATTGGGAAAAATGTCAATTTATGATCACGGGAGAAATTGTGTTACGACATAAAATTTCTAAAAAAATAAATTTAATTCTAAATTAATAAAAATGTAAATTTATGGTCACAGAAGGAATTGCGTTAGGATATTAAATTTTTGAAAATGATACAGAAATTGATTCAGCAAAAATACAAGTTATTGCTAAATTACAACCACCTAATTCAGTAAAAGCATTGAGGAGTTTTCTAGAACGTGCTGGATTTTATATAAGGTATATTAAAGATTTTAAAAAATTGCTAAGCTATTATGTTATCTTTTAGAAAAAGATACTAATTTTGATTTTAATAATGATTTTATGAAAACCTTCAATTTATTAAAGAAAAAATTAATCACTGGACCTATCATTGTTTCACCTAATTGAAAAAAATCATTTGAATTAATGTGTGATGCAAGTGATTACGCTATTGGGTCTGTTTTAGGACAAAAATATGATAAGAATTTTAAAGTCATATATTACGTTAGTAAAATTCTAAATGAAGCTCAAATTAATTACATAACTGAAAAAGAGTTGTTGACAATAGTATATGTTTTTAATAAATTTAGACCATATTTAATTAAAGCTAAATGCATGATGCATATTGATCATTCTGTTATTAAATATCTTATGTCAAAAAAAGATGTGAAACTAAGATTAATCAGATGGGTCTTTCTTTTGCAAGAATTTGATTTTCAGATAGTGGATATGAAATGTGCTGAAAATCAAATTTATAATCATCTATTAAGACTTGAACAAGAAAATAAAAAAAAATTAATGAATATGACATAAATGAAAATTTTCCTGATGAATAACTTTATGTTGTTGCTGAGTGGCATATACTATGGTATGCAGATATAGTTAACTACTTAGTAACATTTTACCATAGTGACTAACATATCACCAGAAGAAGAATATTATTCCCGAAGCAAGATTTTACATTGGAATAACCCTTATTTATATAAAAAAAATGTCCAGACTCAGCCATTCATAGTTGTGTATTAATTAATGAAACCTTATAAATTATACAAAAATGTCATAAATCTGAATTTGGGGGACACCTTGAATTGGATAGAACTGCATTTAAAATTTTACACGGTGGATTTTATTGACCTACATTGTTTAAGGATGTTAATACTTATGTGAAAGTTTGTAATCGATGTCAGAGGGTAGGTAATATTTTAAAAGAGATGAAATGTCCCTAAATTTTACTTTTGAAGTTGAAATTTTGATGTTTAGGGTTTATATTTTATAGGACCATTTTTACCATCTTCAGAAAAATTTATATCTTATTAGCTATAGATTGTGAGTCTAAATGAATTAAAGTTATAGTTTTGTCTCATTGTGATGCTCTGAATGTTTCAAAATGCTCTGAATATTTCAAAATTTTTAAACAAAAATATTTTTACTAAATTTGGAATGTCATAAGTGATCATTACTGATGTGATAAGTCACATTAAGAATTTTAGAATTCATACATTACTTAGAAAATATTGAATTAAACATCAAATTGTCACAGCTTATAACCCTCAGAACAATGGATTAATAGAAGTATTAAATCGAGAAATTAAAAGATTTTTCAAGAAAACTGTAAATCCTAATAGAACTGATTCGTCTGATAGACTTGATTCTGCATTATAGGCTTATAAGAATGTTTACAAAACTCTTATAGAAATGTCACCATATGGGCTCATATTTGGAAAAACTTATCACTTACCAGTTGTTAGAACATAAAATTTATTGGGCGATAAAAGAATTTAATTAGAGAAAATCTATTATTATAATTAAATGAGCTCAAAAAAAATAAGAATGAATCTTATGAATATGCTAGAATTTATAAAGAAAATATGAAAAGTTGTCTTGATCAGAAGATTTTAAGAAATAATTTTAAGTCTGGACAAGATGTTTTATTATACAATACTATATTAAAATTATTTTTACAAAAACTTAAGTCCATGTGGATGGGGTCATTTATTTTGATAAAAATTTATTCTTATGAGGTTCTGGATATTAAAGATCCGAAAACTAAACGAATAATTAAAGTAAACGGGCATAGGTTGAAACCTTATATTAGTGAAAATAAGCCCTTTTACAAAGAAACTATGATGTTGGGTCAGTCCGAGTAAAACATTTGAATACGTCGGGCAAACGACATTAAACCAAACACTTTATGGGAGACAACTCATAATCTATTTGTGTTGTTTGATTTATGTTATTTATGTTGTATCATGACTTTCTATTGTCAAAGTAGCATTTTTAAACACCATTAAGGATTTAAACATAATTGGAACTTAAAAGATTTGACGATAAGCGAAAAGGTGTTCACTAAAACGCTAGCGTTGAAGCGCCAGAGCCCAGTGAAACTGAAGCCTAGGCGCCACAATCATTCGCTCAAGCGCCACAATTTTTGGTCATGGAGAAAATCGCCCCAAAGCAGTTTTTCTCACTTCTTACTTTTTAAACTGTCGTATTTTCGTCCCCAATCACCAAAACTTTGAAAATTTAGCCTGAGAGAAGTTGCTTCCATTTACTTGCTTCCATGGAGAGTAAAAAGCAACGGAATGGGAAATGAAGATAATTTTGTGCATAAGGATGCTCAAACTTATTTCAGTGGGTTCCTAACATTGAGTTTAGAGAGGATGAATAGTAAATTAGGAAGAATTGAAGAGGAGCTTTCATTGCTACACAACAAGTTGCATGAGATGTATCATCAATTAGAGCATTTGGAGTGACAAATGAAGCTTCAATGCAATCACATGTCTTGCTATCAGGATCGTCAGGTAACCATGTATTGCAACAATAAATGGATTAATGAGAAGATGGCTATGGATTTCCCTCGTGCCCCTTTCTTTCGAATTTTTGATCGTAACACTTTAACATGTGAAAGGGAGGACAAAAGTTCAATCAACTGTCATTAAAGTTTAGAAAGAATATAGTGTGTTTGATTTTTCATGTTACTACCTTATTTAGTAGTTGATTGTGTTAGTTTGTTTGTATTTGTACTGCTTTATTGTGCTATTTGTGTCAGTTGTAGTGCAATTTGAAATTTATTAATGAAGTGATGTTTGTGTAAATCATGAGTCGGAAGGTTGGAATTAATCTCGGATTAAAAATTATAAATAAAAAATTGGAAGTTAGAAAATGTTGGGGAGATCATAAACATTTAGTTTGATAATAAATTAATCAGAAGTTTTGGTTTAAAGACCTTAGTCATGTTGTGTTACACTTAAAATCCAAAGAAAGAAAAATTTTGGGTCTGACGTCAAGTTTCTTGGCTTGAAATCACCGGATATCATTTTCTCGAGGTTAGATCTACATTTTGGCATAGTTATTTTGCGATTTCACCATGAATTTTTCATACATTGAGTGGAGTTCAAAATTTGCAAAAGTATTAGATTAGGTGGTGAAAAATCCATGGATCTAAGCCTCGTTAGCTTGAAAAAACTTGAAGGAAGTCATTTATGTTAATTTTAAATTTATTGGAAATTTACTTCAAATTTTTAGATGGCTCCTAAGACAAAGCGAGGAAAAGTAAAAGAAACTTACGACAATGCCAAATTCATCAATTTTAAAGCACAAATTTGTCAATTTTAAAGCACAAATTCGTTATAACAAATTTGCATTATCAAGGAAGTTTATTACAGAGCGAAGTTTCTACGGACTCGATGGTGTCGTGTAGAACGTAATTGTGGCTCGTCAATGGGAAATTTTTTGTTATTTTACTATTGTTGTCATCATTGTTGTTGTGCGAGAATTTCATGCGAACTTACCTGAAGCTTCTGACGACGAGATATTTGTTCGAGAAAGAGGAGAAGAATTCACTTCTGAGAGTATTAATGTGGTATATGGTCTGCCACCTGCTATTGACTGTTTTTATTCTGAGTATACACCTTCTGAAACAGAGCTAGAACATATTATTGCATATTTGACTGATGGACGGAGAGCATGAAAAATCCGGAACGATCATAAGGTAAATTTTTTTTCTTCCATGCTCAATGCCACCTCAAAGGCTTGACATTATTTCATTTCAGCTCGCCCCCTTCCTTCAAATCATTTAAGTGAAGTAACATGCTAAAGAGTTATATTAAACTGCATTCAAGAGATGAAACCTATAGATGTTAGCTCTCTTATTTATGAGGCTATTAGTTCTACTACCAGAGCTAGTGCTACTTCAGGTTTAGGATTTCCTTCTTTGAATTTTACTATTTGCAAAGACTCTGAAGTAAAGTTTGATCCTTGAGAGGAGCAGTTGAAACCACTTAAGCCTATTGGGATGGTTAAAGTAGATGTGTATGGACGACCTAAAGGTAGAGCTCATGATGCAACTTCTACGATTACTTCTAGGCCTTATACTTCTAGACCTTCTACCTCCACTGCTACTGAGACTCCATTTGATTTTTGGGATGTATTGGGTGAGATATTTGGAGCACCAGAACGATATGTTTATGATACAGTGTCGCATGCAAGATATGGAAGACAAATTTAATCATATGGCAAATTATGTTCGGAGGACAAGCGATTATGATGCAGATTATGATGAGGCATTAGTGAAATTCATGAAGGGAGATCAATCAGTTGAATTTCCTACATGTCCTCGATTTACACCTTATGAGAGCCGCAAATCTATAGATGAAGATATCCCATTTGATTTTGATGATGATGAGGATGATGATGATGATGATTAGACTTTATTTACTATTTTGTAGTTATGTTTTTCAGATCTTTCTCATGAGGGACTATTGATGTATGTTTTATTGCTTTATGTACTTTTATTTATAATGCTACATTTATTCTTGCTTATTTAGTTTGCTTATGTGTTAGAGTAGTCTTTTAAATTGCAAATTTCATGATATACATGTAATTTTTTTCTACTCAGCGCTTGTTTTTATTAATTGTACATGTAATGTTTCCTGTTTAGAATTTTTAAATTTTTGTCTTTCTTCATGCTTATTATGAATTGTATTGCTTTAAATAATTAAAAATTTAAGTTTAGGGGATGGGGGGAAAGTTTTTCTAAAAAAAAACTAAACCTTATTTGTCCCAAATAAATTATATTTTTAAAAATTATTTTAACATAACCTGTGGTATGTTAGGATAACTTTAGATAACTATATTTTTTATTTTTAAAATGTCATAGTAGACTTAAGTAAAAGTTTTTAAT